TCTTACGTTATTTTGGTTTAAGATTAATGTTGAAAATATGCATCTGTTTTAAAAGCAGACATTCCCATCTTAGGGTTTTGTTGTTGCCTGCTCATGTTTCCTCATGTGCGTGTGGATGCATGTGGATAGTGCCATTTTAGCTAAGTAAGGAGTGGCACTCAAGAGTACTGAATCTGCCATTTGTATATATGATGACGTGTGTGTGAAGAATTCACTTAACCTTGTTTTCCCCAGAAAAGACAATTGCATGAGAACTCATTCCATTAGAAACGTTGATGGAGATTATAACGTGCATGGCTATTCCGTTATTCCTTTATTTCTAGACTAATGTTTCAAATTGATTCCTGAGTCTGCCAGATCCCTACCATATATAAAGGCCTTTGATCAAGCTAAAAAATTGTGGCAAGCAGGAACCAGCCCAGCCCAGGCGCAAAATATTTCAAGCTGGGAATGGGGACCTGCTGGCAGTATTGCTACGGTACTTACAGTGATAGAGATGAGATGAGGCCTTTTGGTAGGGGCAAGGCAAGCTGTTCACAATTAAAATAACAAAGGTCTGATGATGGGCATCAAGAGCGAGACAGGTGCTTATATAGTCCAATGGTTTTAGTTGCCACCCATGCGCTCAACTCTTGCCTGTGGGGCTATGGGTTAAAAAAACCCACATTTCAGGGCACCTCAAACTTTTGGAGTGGGGCCATAGCTCTGTAGAGCTCATGCTTTATGTGCAAAAGGTCTCACGTTTAATCTCCCTTGAAAAGGTATCAGGTAAGAGGTGAAGTGAAAGAGTAGGCAATGGCAAGAACAGATTCTCACCGTGATCTGTTACATTATGTTAGTATGCATGTTGGGAACCTGTGTTACGTGTAGCCAATTGCACCATGGATCAACTTATGTTCTAGTTTATAAGCTGTATCTTTGTGATTTACGTATTAGCTGTCCTTCTGTCCCAGTGGGGGACGGTATCTTGCAAATCACCAGTTTCTTAAAGCAACAGGTTACCACAACTTCTCTATTAGAGGCATATTCAAGGATTTATAGGGGTTGACATTATCACATTCATTATGGCCTTTTGGGCCACTACCACAATCTAACTATCAGGCAGCTTCGAATGTTTGAAACAGAAGCTACCCAAACAAAGTCATGCTCCACTTTTGTGTTGGGGGCTAGGTAATTGGCACACTGCCGTCAAAGAGCTAGGAGCTGGTCTTTTGCTTTTTTAATGGAGAAACTCAACTGACAGGTTTTGCTTCCAGAGGCCGGAGCATCACATTACATAGATACATGTGTATATATGTTAATAATACCTTCAGTTTGGGTACAACTGATGATATAGTAATTTAGAGGCACAAATTTTTGCAAAAGCCACAAAAAAACCAGCTGGCAGTGAATAAAGTAGAAGACATGGGTAAAAAAATGTGCCCCAGGAAGTATCAATTCTTTTTTATATATATAATGGGGTTGTTTTTCCAAACTTGAATTTTTTGTGGCTTATTTAGAATTTTGGCGATGCGGCTGCTGGACGATCATTTCACCAAATGGCTCACGGCTTAACTCCTTGCCAACCAGCCAGAATCCCCCTAGGCTCCCTTAGCAAAATAAAAGCATATTATAACACTGGGGAAACATGAGAAACTGATTGAAGAGGAAATGATTTATTATAAATAGTAAAGGTCTCAAGTTGCCACTCGTATTTATCAAGGACCCTGAAATAGTTATCTAGATTAATTTGCATTCAAAGTATGTCTGCAAGGAACAGCTTCCAGCAACTCATTTAAATGAGTTCTAAATTACAATAGAAATACCACCAAAATTACATTTTTCTTGGCTTACTGTAACCCTAAAGCTCATTTGGAAGCACCTGCAAACAGTGTTGGTTGCCAAAAAGAGAAGGCAGGATTCAATTTCATTCGACATAATAAATTTTGTAAAATACAGAATTTTAAACTTTTACAGAACAAAGAACTTCTTGTAACTACGGCTGATTATAATTATGGGTAGTTCTGCGCCACTGAGGTGCTTTGGAATGTCCATTGTTTAACCTGGAAGCAATTTTAACTAAGACAGAATGTTAAAGTTGCCCGAGATTATAGAGAGAAGAATTAAAAAAGGAAAAGGAAAAAGAAGACACAGTGGCTTAAAAACGGATTTTTTTCTACTGGGAATCAGCACTGCCCCCACCCCACCAAATAGAGTTATATAGGTAGTAGTTTCCTAAGTAAAAATGAATTTAGGCCCTAAGGGAACGGTAAAAATCCAGAGGAAGGTGCAGATAATTTTCTCGGAAAATGTAATGCCCTATGTGCTGTTGAAATACAGTATTTCAAGAAGAAAAAAAAGTTTCAAAAAAGCCCTGTGAGATAAATTAACTTCATTGATCTGGTCAAAGCCACCCAGCAAACTTCACAGGAAAGGCAAAAAACAAAAATCCCAGATGTATGTTTGCTATCCAAAGTGGTTTGCTCTAAAGTGGACAGAGGCTGAGAGTTTAATAAGTTTCAGAGAAGGGACTGAAATATCTTGTTCAAATAACCAGTCTGGTAAGAATTCCCTGCCCACCCTCGCCCCGACGACTTGAGCTTCCTCAAAGTGTAGCCAGGTGTTTACAGCATAGTCTGCTAAGAAAGAAAAAGGACTTTGTACTGTGGAAAGGAGCTTTCCTTACGCACCAGCTGTGCTGGAGTGTCATATTTTTAATGGCTACTGCACGACTTTCACTATGTATGTGCGACGCATGAAGCACTGCTTTGACAAAAGACATACTGAAGTAAATTATGCCAAAGGAACATTGTCTGGTAAACTCCATCGTGCTAACCATGGTGGCTTAAATTACCAAGCTCTAACTTCTTTGAAAGCAAAACTGCTCTTGTCTGATCTTATGCTATAGCTAAGATGGGTATTTCTGTACTCCCACTTGCATGAGTCATGCTGTCCCAGGAAACTACCTATGTACAGTATTTCATAATGTACAATTCTGGACCTCTGTGAAAAGGTCATTTCAGATTCAGGGTAAGGTTGCCTGCATTTTTCCTATTACTGGGTGCATACAGCACCCCCAACTTGTTCAGCTTTTGGCGATGCTTTCTAAAGACATCTGCTTGACACTATTTCAGATGCTCTGTCCCTGTGACAGACTGCAGGAGCTGACTTTCTTTCCTCCACATAAGTTTTATCTAGATCAATTTCTTGCCCCCACATTCCCTTGCACCTGCTTGTTACTTTCCTTAGGGAAAATACCCCGTGGCAAGTTTGGGGGTGGGGTGGGGCGGAATCTGTTGTCTTACCAGATTAAATGAGTTCAAAGGAACCCATGTTAAAATAACAAACTAGTTTCTGAAAGCAGGCATTTGTCTGGCTCTCCAGGTTTTTGGTCGATGATTTTGGTCCCACAGGTAAACACGGGCCATCTCCATTGGTGCATGGGGCCACTGAATTCTGCCAAATCCCCAAAGACGTCAGAACCATCCCCACTGCAGACTCCTACACCATTTGAGATGGTATATCTTTTCATGTAAGTCAAGAAACTCAGTTATTTTTCTCCTTCAATTTGCTTCCAATGCACAGCAGGCAACTATAGTGACTCAACATTTTTATTAATTAATTAATTTTTATTATTGAATTTGTTAGTTGCTTTATCTTGCCCAAGGCAACCCAAAGCGACTTACAACCAACCAAAAAATACCAACACAGATACAATAAAACAAAGGGGGGGGACACACATTTAAAAAATCTCACCCACTCCTGCCTTCTTGCTATCTCCTATATTTTCCAAATCTCACTCACCTCTGACACCCACAAGGCAGGAAAAACTATTACTTTACGTATAACTTCCTTCAACCACTTTTCTACCTCTTTCACTTTCTCCACTGCAAATGTTGGGTCTTTAAGAATGTACCACCTCATAATTCCATCCTAGGCAACTCTCTACATTTGTCCTCTCCCCTCTATCTCTGCTGTATTAAGTATTTGTGCCAGCAACGTGTGGGTGGGTCAACCTGTGTAATGTACTATTAACCCTCTCTATTCTGTATGTTCCTGTAATGGCATTTCAAGCTGCAAAGTTGTTTTTGTTGTTTCTAAGTAAATTAATGTTGGCATTTATTACCTTTAAACCTTTACACTTTTCATAAATAAATAATTCAACTGAAACAATGGTGTGGTTATTTGCTAGCTCTCTGGAGCAAATACACCAAGGCTGGTTCTTTACCGAAGGCCTTGCACAGTTCAGCTGTCCTGCTCAAGTTGTCGTTTTTTGTACCAGTGTAGGAGGTACCAAGCAGTACCAGTATAAAAGAAGTGTGTTGAATACAACTTATTTTATGTCCAGAATTCAAATTGTGAGACAATTCTGAACCACATATCTTTGAAACATGCATAGTACAGTGGTACCTCTGGATACGAATGGGATCCGTTCTGGAGCCCCGTTCGCATCCAGAAGTAAATGTAACTAGCAATGGCATGTCTGTACGCATCGCTTTTCGCCGCTTCTGTGCATGACATCATTTTGAGCGTCTGCGCGAGTGGCGAAACCCAGAAATAATGCGCTCCGTTACTTCTGGGTTGCCGCGGAGCGCAACTCGAATGCACTCAACTTGAAGCATATTCAACCCAAGATATGACTGTACTGGGCACTTATATCAAATGAAAAGGGAATTGAAGATGTCAACCTCTGGAAACCCTGAAAGTGATTTGGCCAGTGACGTACTCCTTAGTTACACCCCCTTTGGATTACTGTAATAATGCGTTCTATGTGAGGCTTCCTTTGAAAAGTGCTCAGAAACTAGTTTTTAATATTATTATTTTTAAGTGTGTGTGTGTGTTCCTATCAATGTTTAATTTTATTAAAAAAAATTGCTTCTTTTCTATGTTTTCAGCTGTTCTTATTTTTATCTGTAAGGTGACTTGAGTTTATGTCAAGGAAAAAGGTGGGGTATAAATAAATATCTACTACTATTACTGAAGTAGCTGGAGCTGGAAGAGACCTGAAATTAATTGCAATCTTTGAATATTTCCTACTTAATTTATTTAAAAGGTAAATCTGGCACAACAATTTCATCATAGACCACTTCCATGGAAACAATACTAAAGGTTCACTCTTGCAAAGGTCTTGGAACTGGGGGTGGGGAAGGGGGCAGACAGCAAGTTGGTAAAGGTAACTCTGAAACAGATTATCTTACAAATTCTGACTGCAGATCTCCAAAAGGTTTCCCTTGCCTTTCTTTCACAGAATTGCACGTATCCCTGGTGACTTGGAAATACAAAATTCTGTTTTCTTTTTCTCAGCATACCATCCCAGGAATAAATACCATTTTTTCTACTTCAGCATTCTCTTAAGGTAATGCTGGAGTCTGAGAGTTGATGGAAAAGAAGTTAGTTGGAGAGCTACAGGCAAATGAACCATCAGTCTAAAATACACCTATAATCCTAGGTTTGTTTCTTATTTTAATGGTCTGGATGGTTTTCAGGATAAAATATTATTTGCTAATAGTAGTAAAAGTAACAAAGAACTAATTAAACTCTCACATTGAAATAGAGCGCTGTAGTTCCAACATTACAGAAACATTATGAGAACCTGCATGAAAGATCTGTAGCAGCAGAAGTGCTATCTTCTCAAGCTGAAGCAAGCAGCTACACCCCTTCTAATTAACTTTATTTTACTGATCAGGCGATGACTTCCATCTTACGATATATTGCTATTAGTGAAATTTTCTAGACGTATTCTGTTTGGATCTTCTGGATGTCTTAATGCAATGCCATTTCGCAGCAGAAGTTCAATATAAGGAGCCCAGAATGAAGTGGTGATTGATACATATGGATCATGTGGTGTGTTACTAAATTTGTGGATAAGGCTCTGAAAATGAGAATGACATTTAGAAAACAATGTTAGCTTTGATCGGCCAGACGTAGTGGCTGCATGTGCATGCAATGCTAAACGATGGTTTAGTGCTACCTGCACAAGCAGAGATGAGTTTGAACAAAGCCTTCACTTTCAGAGAACAGAACTGTAGAATTGGAAGGGATCCCAAGCGCCATGTAGTCTGACCCTCTGCGATGAACAGAATCCCAGTTTAGTGCAACCTTTCCTTCCTGAGTTAATGCAAATGCACTCAAGGGTTGCAGACAGCTTCCTTTCTGTTGCTAGTGTGCATAACTAGACATGCCTGTGCCCGGCCCATTGTTACCATCTAGCCCAAGGGGATTCCACACAAAAAGCTGCTCTTCACTAGGGACCAGGAAAATACCTTTGGCTAAGGCTGGTTTTGCATTTAGGTGTCTGTGCTCAAGTAGAGATCAAGTTGGAAGAATAAGATGGAAGGCAGCTTTCCATGTACGTTGAGCTCAATCCATTTAGATTTCCAGAGGTCATAATAACCATTGGGAATTGGGCCCAGAAGACAACAGGGCATGATTGGCTAGCCTGTGGCCCTCCAGATGTTGTTGGACACCTATCAGCCCCAACTGTAGCATGGGTGGGAGTTGAATAGAGGGGAGGGGAAGTTTCAGGCAAGATGAGGAGGCCCTATGGGTCGCATCTGGGCCCCAAAACAGCATGACCAAACTATTCACCAATCCCTGGAGTAATTATTTCGCTATTTATCCATCCCAGTCTTTACCTGCAGCAAACACAACAAGTGTTCTTACCTCTAAAATTTCATGTAATGATATTAGTTGTACATCTGGCTCTTTAGATGAATGCTACAGGAAACAAAACAAAAGATCTATGTCATATTTAAGGCATGCATTTTAACAAAGGGAGGGAAGTTTTAAAGATAGTTTTGAATGCATTTCTCTTCTTTTGGACTTGAAAAAATGAATTTGTGCAAAAGTAGTTGAGCAAGAATGTCAGTGAGATTGCGCATTTGAATGTGATAAGTGATGAAATAAGGATGCATCCTCACTCAAATGGCGCATGTAAATGGACATCTGATCTACATTCACAGTTCCTCATTCACCAGGTCACAAAAATACAGAAGTCTTTTTACATGCATGGACTTGCAACAATTGACAATAGCACAGTACATCACACTAAACCAGGGCTGGGAACCTCAGGCTCCGAACCTCTCCCCAGGTCACAACCTCCTTCCCATGTGACAGTCCCTCTTCACACCTTCTGCAGTGTGAACTTATTTGCCTGGATGAAGAGATGGGTGTGCTGGAAACTCAGACCTTTGCATGACTGGAATATAGCCGACTATATAAATAAGAGTCACACCTGTTGCTCCATCCACTCTTGGCTCTGGCCCTGCCCATTTTACCTTTGGTCACACCCACTGGCATGCAACCCTCAGAAGGATACCTGCAAGAGAAAGTTTTCTATCCTGCAGTAAAGAATGGTTTAGTGTGATGTGCATGAGCTGAAACAAATCTGACCAAGCCATGGGCTCTTTACTTCCCTTACCAGTGTGATCAGAAGGACTTCAGCAGAGTTTACCTTCGGTTTCAATTAATTGTGGCTTCTTGGTGTCTGCAAACTGGGAACTGTGGTTCGTAACAAACTGGCTCAGTTTCCCAACGAGCCATATTTAAACCATGATTACTCTAGCTGACGTGTTAAATTAATCAGAGATTGTAATAAGCCATGATCCTTGGTTTGAATGCAACAACAAGCAGAGATTCAGTGAAAACAAAAGCAGAAACTGCCAAAGTCCTGCTCAACGCTATGTGGATACAACCTTGAGTCTCACATAGGCCAGTTCCTGCTTGCACATATAATGCTAAACCATGGTTCTGCATGATATGCAAATGTGACACAACAGCATTACAAAACACAAGGATCACATCCACAAAATTGTGATTGTTGTATGCACCACTTATTTTTTAGCCCTTTCATTTTGAAGTACTTGATTATTTACATTCAGTACGCACCGCCCAACAACAGAAGTTCTCTGGGCAGTTTACAAGTACTTGGCATCCTCCAATTTTGGCAATTTCATCTGTCACTTACAAATGGGTATTGATGATCATTTGTAAATGTATGGGAGGAAGACAAAGATTCTCTGTGTTGTCAGGTTCCCGTTTCTCCCCTTTATTAGCCTAATCTTTGCTGCTTTTAAATTATATTTGCGTTCGACTGTTGAGTTAACTGGGTAGCTTAAAAACATTTTCCAAAGAAAATATAAATATGTATCTTTCCTCACACACAAGTTTCAGCTTACTACAAAAAGATACCATTTATTTCAGGAAAATATCTAAGTGGGTATGAGATGAATGCTCAGTATTTATTTTATATAATATCCACCTTTCTTAAAACACTATAGAAACCAAAATTGCACAGGCCCGGTTGTACAATCTTTAAAGTGAAAATAGAGAGGCTGACTTCAAAAGCTTTGCCAGCTATGGCCACCAGGGGGGTATAGCAAGCACTCTGCTCTCAATTATATCTCAGAATGGGATTGAAGATACCACAACCTATAAGCTGCTGGGTGACACAGATTCCAGCAAGTTTTAAGAAGGATGTAGAGAAGCACCAGTTTCTATGGCCTGCAAGACTTAAAGGGGAGAGGGAAACTGACACCACAAAGGGGAGAAGCATAGGGAACTGAAAAGAAGGAAGTTAAGAATGGAGAAATGGCTAAAACCAGGGATACCGAAAGAGTAGAAGGTGGGCAATTTGGCAAAATTTAGGCTAGGAGAATCAGGCTCAGAGATTGAAGGTGAGCTCAAAAATTGTGTGAGTGCATCTAGCAACAGCAGGGCTTCAGACAGCAATGATTTCAATTATATATCGGAATGGGACTGCTGGGGCATTAAAGCTGAATTAAAAGCACAGCATTTGAACTTTCATGATTGCTTTTCATTATGACAGTATAAAAAGGTAAAGGTAAAGGACCCCTGGACAGTTAAGTCCAGTCAAAGGCGACTATGGGGTTGTGGTGCTCATCTCGCTTTCAGGCCGAGGGAGCTGGCGTTTGTCTACAGACAGCTTTCCAGGTCATGTGGCCTACATGACTAAACTGCTTCTGGAGCAACGGAACACCGTGACAGAAACCAGAGTGCACAGAAACACTGTTTACCTTCCTGCTATGGCAGTACCTATTTATCTACTTGCACTGGCGTGCTTTCGAACTGCTAGGTTGGCAGGAACTGGGACAGAGCAACAGGCGCTCACTCCATTGAAGGGATTTGAACCGCTGACCTTCTGATTGGCAAGCCCAAGAGGCCCAGTGGTTTAGACCACAGCGCCACCCACATCAGAGACTTCTTAGCTTAATATTAATGTGAAAATGACCATACTCTTTTCTTTCTTGTAGTTCCATCATCAGGGAGAGGAAAATGTTCTTCAAGGAACTCGCCCAGAGCAGTCAAGATCTTATCCTTATACGTTTTTATTTTCAGCATTTTGGTTTTGATTTCTTGAAAGGCTCTAAGGTGTTAAAAAAAAAAGGTGAATTGCAATAGTCTTTTTTTTAAAAGGATAACTTGCAAACAAAAATTATTATCCACACCAAAGACTTTAATTATGCAATTCGCTTAGTAAAAAAGGTAAAGGTACCCCTGCCCGTACGGGCCAGTCGTGTCCGGCTCTAGGGTTGTGCGCCCATCTCACTTAAGAGGTAGAATGATTCTAATTTCTATAGTTTCCCGCTCCTAAAACTGCAAAACATTATGAATACCTTTCTTCAGAAAACTCTACAACTTGATTGCGATTTTCTTCCTCTGTTTGATTGAGGCAGTCCATTAGCTGTTGCTGTTCCTCCAACCATTGCTGTTCCCTTTAAACAGATGTGGGGAGAACAGTAGACAAATACACATTAGTTTTGTAGAACTGCCAAATCAGTTCCAGGATAATACTGAATCCAGCACATACCTTACTAAGTCTTGCTTCAATTTTTCGTTCTTTGCTTGAATTGTCGATAGCACCATTTCAAGATCCTGGTCTACTTCCTGCAACTGAAAAGATAAGTGTGCTCTTTATAGAAATGTAGTTCTTTAAAAATATATGCACTGTGGTGCTCTGTGCATTTGTATGCCTTATATTTCAGTACTATACTATCTGTATGCTTAAATACGAACACAGAAAAGTAGGTACTCATCCATCTTTTCCACATGAATAGGAAAACGAATCAGCAAACAGGTAAAATAAATACATAGCTTTGTAAGTGATTTTCAAACTCTTATTCCAGGGAACTTTGTGGTTTCTTGGAATCTTCTGAGCAGTTCCTTGGTGAAAAGATCAGAAATGGCAGACAAGCTTATCTGAAAAACTGTGTGCTCACAGAATTATCTTTTAGAACTCCAGGAGGACTGGGTAGAAGGGATTTCTCCTCCATGCACTAGTTGTCGTTTTGCATCATTAGCACCATGGGTTGTATTCAGTGCAAGGATTACTGCTAGCACAAGAGGACTTCCTGCTTACCCTATCCCTGCATGCCCCCTAAATCTGTTCTGTGGGCTCCCCCCACCCTCCAGAGCAGATCTGGGGAGGGCACAGGATGGGGGAAGAAGGCCTATTGTGCTAGTGGTAATCTTTGCCAAGATAGGATGAGTCAGTAGGATACTACTACTTCTCTTGAAGGCTTTGCAAGGTAAATCTGTATATGCATACATCAACCTGCTCTCTCCAGACGTTTAAGACCACGATTCCCATCAACCCCATCCAGCATGGCCATACTAGGCTGAGAAAGGTTGGTGTAAGTCATAACTGTTCATCGTTTAACATGTAAGACACAGAATCTAATACATATCAGTGACCTGATAGGTCACAAACACAACAGTAGCTTATTCATCACTACTGAGTTATCTCCTCAAATGTAAAGATGCCCTAATACCAGTCAATATGAGCCAATGTTGAAGCTCACTAAATTGACCAGTGCCTCATATGTCTTAAAATGCTCTGTAGATGCAGCAGTCCCATGACACATTAGGAGACAAAATTGATAGGAAAAGTAGAAACTTTGGAAATCACTATCCTAGACCAGTCTTCTCTGTGATGCACTCTGTGAGTGCTTATAGTTTAGATTGCACATTTCAATTCTAAGTGTTGGGACTTGAGAAAATAAAATGTATACAACTACATAGAATGAAGGCTCTAATCTATTTTTAACAGATTTACCAGGACTATTTAAATTCTCTTTTTCAGATGCAACATCCTTGTTAAATTCTCCGTAAAAATGAATGTGCTGGATCATGTAGTGTGATTTATAATTTAGGAAACCACATACCAAGCGATCTTGATCCATAGGGCCATGCAGACTGATTAGCACCTAACACTATGTGTCCCTCAGTGGACGTAGGGTTACGTAGGGTTACGTAGGGTTAAGCAGAGCAGTGTCAGTTGTTTTCATAAAAATCAATTAAAAACATTATGATCTATATGCATTTTGTACAATTTTACAGATTTCAAATGTATCTTGATAATAAAAATGTTAATGCTTCTCTTATCATGGAGTCAATTCTACACACATACACAAGAATGAGAACTTGAGATTTTTTAAGCCAATTGTCCAGAAAGCAGAATGTCAAATCAAACATGATATAAGAGGTGCAACATTTTCTCAAGGCAAAGATGTTAGCCAGTCATTTTGTTGAAACAAAATATGTATTAGCATGTCTGCTTCCATGACCTTTCTAATGAGAGGTGGAATAAAATTGCTGAGAAGTAACCAAATCCAGAGAAAGGAAGGCAAAGAAGTTGTTTTTAAACCAAAAACTTTATAATTTGAATGTGAATTCATTTACTAGGTACAGTATAATTGCTTATTTTAGCAGAGGAGCCACAATAATCTTCCCAGCTAATGTTGCATAGCAATTCTTCAACCCTTATATTGAAATGCTATCACTAACACATTCTAGGTTTCCTTGTTAGCCCCAGATCTGGAAGAATTAAAGAGTAATATTTGCAGATGCTATTGCTATAAAACTTAGAGGAGTATTATGGACTGATGTCAAATGTATAGTTAAGATGTTTTAGGCAGGCCTAAACATAACCGAGTGAAATGTAATTCACAATCGGCATGTTATAGCTACTAGTACCTTGGTAGAACTTCCAAGTTATGCTGCTTACCTAAATGACAGGAGAGATGTCACAGCTAATGGCCAGGATGATGGGTCACAAGCTGTACAGACCTAACATTAGGTGAATTTGGGACATATAGAATCATAAAATTGTAGAGATGGAAGTGACCCCAAGGGTCATCTAGTCCAACCCCATCCGATGCAGGAATCACAGCTAAAAAAATCCCTGGCAGATGGCCATCCAACCTCTGTTTAAAAACCTTCAATGAAGAAGAGTCCACTACCTTCAGAGGCAGTCCATTCCACTGTCAAACAGCTCTTATTGTCAAAAAGTTCTTCCTAATGTTTATTCAGAATTTTTATCCTGTATTTTTATGTTGTGAACCGCCCTGAGATCTGCAGATGAAGGGTGGTATATGTTAAGTTGTGGGTGAACATATCAGACGACACAGCGATTCTTCAAAGAGCTCTTGTTTATTCACAGGCCAGAACTGAACTGAACTGAAAGGTTCAGCCAGCCTGCTTATATAGAGCTCCACTAGAACGCATCAGTAACCATTTTCTGTAACTATCCAATCACTGAAGGTCACTTTTGATCCCTTATTTGCATATGTGGACCTGAGTGAAAACTATCTACAGTATCCCCCTGCTGGCCCAGGGTGAGAACTTCAGTACATAACAGTATATAAATCTTAGGGAAAGCTAGTTGAGTGTACAGGTAACTTGCATCTTACACGAGGGTTTGGTTCCAGAGGTATCCACAAAAACACATAAAGCCAGGAACCCCAGAACCGCCTCCCCCCCCCGCAAGGTGGAGGGCTGTGTACCTGGCTCTAGGGAGGTGGTGCAAAGGTCCTGCCACCTTCCCAAAGCCCTGTAAGTGGGATGCTGCCAGAGCCCTTGCACTGCCAGGTAAGCCTTCAACCACAGCTTTGCACAGGTGGGGGGGGGGAATAAATATATGGAGAGTGGGTTTCCCCTGCTCTCCATTTATTTATTTATCTAACCCCCACCCGCACAAAGCTGCAATCACATAAGTAAAATAAATGTTAAGATGTGAGTTACCTGTATATCTAATTGTCTGACTAATACTTTCAAGATGTTACAACCAGCTCACCCTAATTTAATAGACATACCTGGTGTCTTCCTAATGCTGTCAGAACGTCTGGATTCACGGGAAGTACTGAAAAACACAACAAGTTGCCATACTTTTAAAAACAACACATATTTGCAAATCTCATTTCTCTGAGTGAAACAATCAGCATTAGACCCAATGCTATGATTACTACTGTCAGAGCTGCCTCAGGTCCCAGCTCACAGAGGACCAACGCCAGTCCGTTGTTATATAAAATAGTCTTTATTGAAGTTCATTTTCTCTTTTACAGCCACGGCGCGCAGCTCTACGTCTTAAACTCTAGACCGCCGAAGCTCCGTCTGAGTCTCCTCCCCCCAGACACCAGTTTAAGACCCTAGCCTTGCTCCACCTCTTCCTCTGCTCCCTCCTCCTCTGGGTCCGCTTGTCCGCTGAGGTCTTGCCCTTCCTAGACTCTTCTGACGCTGAGTCCCCTGAGTCTTCCCCCTCCCTCCGGCGGGCTTAAGGACCTGGTTCCCAATCCGGGTTTTCTGCTGTCCCGCGCGCCTGTACATTTGAACTTGGCGCGCGCGCCCAGCCTGCCACCTTCCTCCTGACCGTTATACTGCTCCTGTCGCTGCTTCCCTCTTCGGGGATGCTAGCTGGGTCTGACTCCTCCTCCCTGCTTGCCGGAGGAGACGCTGACTCTGACCTATGGGGCTCTCCCCCCCCCCACTACGCTCTGGTGGGGAAGCTGGTCCTGATTTCCAGCTACTGCTTTGGGAGTCTCCGCTGGCCCCCTGCTTCTGGTGTGTCCCCCCTGGGACCCCCCTAGCCCTGGCCATCGGCGCCCCCTTCTGGGAATCTTCTGATTCACTGGAGAGGCTTATGGAATCCCTCGGGTCACTGTCATTCTGCCCTCCACTGCCCTCAGATTCTTCCCCTTCGCTCTCCATTTCCTCTCTCCCCTGTGCCTCTGCTCCTGAGCCCCTGACAACTACACATAACATATTACAGAGTGAGCTGAAGTCCACATAGAATGAATTCTATAAACAGCAAGCAGCATCTCATAAAAAACTTATTAGTGAATCCAAACCACTTTAAGACCAACCAGCAGCCTACAATGACCTATTGAAGGCTACAATCCTATGGTTGCAGGAAGGGTGCCCTAGGGCAGGGGTCTGCAACCCGCGGCTCCGGAGCCGCATGTGGCTCTTTTACACCTTTGCTGCGGCTCCGGGGCAGATACTAGCGAGGGGAGGAGGTGCATTGTGCGCCCCAACACTCCCCACTGTGGCGGGCGCTGTACTGGCTGTGATGTTGCATGGGGGCGGTGCGTGCATTAGTCACGCACCGTCCCGACGTCACCTTCCCGCCCGCCCGCCCGCCCGCTACACTGTAAGGGGCATGTACGCTGGTCACTGCATTGAAAGGGGGCATGTACGCTGGTCACTGTTTTGAAGGGGAGTGAAGAACACACACCAAAAAAAAGGTAACTTGTTAATTTAACGTTTATTTCTATGAGGAGGTGTAATTCTGAGGGGTCAAACAAAGAAATAATAAAAAAGTGACAAAAAAGTTATTTTTATAATGACGAGTTTTGCGGCTCCCAGGTTTTTTTTCTTCGGAAATGGGTCCAAGTGGCTCTTTTTGTCTTAAAGGTTGCAGACCCCTTGCCCTAGGGGCTACTGAACTGTGCAGAGCTCCCTCTCTGTAGGTGGAGAGAGAGAGAGAGAGAGAGAGAGAGAGAGAGATCTATTCTTGCAGACAGAGGTCTCGTTGTGAAAACATCCCTACAGCAACAGCAAAAAGGTAAGTGCTACACAGTGAATAGGGCAAAACAAAGAGCAAAAACAGCATTCTAGCAATATTTGGTGGGAAGGTGGACACACTTTCCCATTTCTCCCAGTGAGAAGGAAAATCCTTTTTTAAAAAACAAAAAACACACTTAAAAACCTCAAAGGGGTGGGGAAAAGAAGGATTTACAATCCCCACCAACAGCACCTTTTGCCCACCAGTGCTATCCCAGAAGTTCGTCCACCACTATGCCTTCTGCCTGGTAGGCTTGCTCTCAGAAAGCTGTACTATAGCTGTTTACGATTTTATGAAATAAATACTATGAAATAGAGTTGGAAGGGTCATCTAGTCCAACCAGCTACAAAGCAGGAATCTTTTTGCCCAATGTGAGGCTTGAACTCAGGACCCTAAGATTTAGAGTTTCATGCTCTACTGATTGAACTATCTCTTTAGTCTATCGTTTGTACTGAAAGAAAGATGCTTGACAGAAAAGATTAATGAAATGTTGAAAGTGCAAAAATCGATGCACAGAAAATTTACAAGAGTTATGTTTTACACGCTTAGCGTATAATGATATTATATTGGAAGTTACAGCCCTAAAGCAAATGTAACCTTTTTGTGGAAACTTCAAAGCCAGAAATAGGCTTAGCGAAAAACAATGATGGAAAAGTGCTTACATTCAAGGCTGAATGGATAAACAGATGGACACAGCCCTTCAGAGATGTCCTCAAGAGATTTAAGGCTTTCAGCAGAAGATTTTAATATATGAAGAAGTTAGCATTGGCACAACCTAGAAATGTCAATAAAATCCACTAAATATTGCTGGGGCATATCTATGTTGCCTTTAGGCCAAAAACCTCCTAAAAGGCACCTGATGTAAAATATTTTTTGAAGCTATAGAAGTTTCAGGAACTAGATGGGAAAACACCTGGGAAGCTTGTGTATATCACTGTGAGCACCATGTTAGAAGGACATAAAGGTAATACACAAGGACACAGACCACCAACTAGTGCTGAATCTTCTGGCAAACACCAGCATCCTTAAAATCTAGAGACACGGGGCCCACAGGCTGTGTAACATATGGTGATCCTATTGGGTAACTAGTAGGAAACAACATAAAATATCACAGTCAAAAGCCACAGGTCTGAGGTGCCCTGTTCTAAGTTGGGGTCTACTTGGACAGACTGAAACAAATGCAGACATTGCCAGCAATTGTTCACACAACTGTCTGTGCATAAGGGCACTAAAATAGCCAAGCCGTAGACTGAGGCCTAATAAATTCTATATTGTAACAACCCATTTGATGACGTTACTTCCATGTTCAGAGCATTATATTTGTGAAGTTTTGTTAGCAGAACTTTCCTTATATTGGACCTTTGGTTTATAACGGATGGGGAATGTTTTTGGCTCCACAGTCCAGATTCTTGTGAGGAATGGCCTTGCAAGCTCAGTTTGACAGGTGAGTAGGACCACCCACCTGACATCACAATGACACCAGGTGCAAGTGCTGCTAAAATGAAGTTTTCTTCATTTTAGCAGGGGTTTCAATGCAAACCATTTCCTGAATCAGGAAGGGCTTTCCATAGAATCCTGCTCAGTTTGGCTGCCCGCACATCTTTCCTGATGGGAACAGGTACTCACAACCAACACAGGATTTAACTCTAACTTCCCACCCATCAGTTGATATCATGAATTATGCCAGTTGATGGGTGGATGTGGTTTGGGGGAAATTTCCTTGTGGGCCAATTTAGACCCCCTGGGAGGCCAGAGTCCCCACCCTTGGTTTATAAGGTGCTCACTAGCAATACCGAAGTCACTAACACAAAATCAGCACAATTTAAACCATGTAGAGATAGTCCGTCATAAGAATTAAGCACATTTTGAGCTGCATTGTAATACTTTGCAGCCCAGTAACAATTCTGCAAGACTTTGAAACAAGTATCAGTCATTACTGGATAAATAACTACTCTTTGTGTCACCAACAACATTTGCTGTTTAACTACGTCTTATCTTTGCTTAACCTAATTTGTTTAGACCGTTATGCTATACCCACTTACCTGGGACTAAGCTCCATAAGCTTTAATGGGACTTTCCATTCTAGAATTGCCATGTATATAATCCTAAACATGCCTATTCAGATGCAAGTCCTATTAAGCTAAATGGAACTAACACCCAGGTAAGAGTACAGTGGTACCTTGGGTTACAAACGCTTTGGGTTACAAACGCTTTGGGTTACAAACTCCGCTAACCCGGAAGTAGTACCTCGGGTTGAGAACTTTGCCCCGGATGAGAACGGAAATCGGTGCCAGGAGTGAGGCAGCAGCAGGAGGCCCCATTAGTGAAAGCGCACCTCAGGTTAAGAATGGTTTCAGGTTAAGAATGGACCTCCGGAATGAATTAAGTTCATAACCTGAGGTACCACTGTACAGTGGTACCTCGGGTTACATATGCTTCAGGTTACAGACTCCGTTAACCCAGAAATATTGCTTCAGGTTAAGAACTTTGCTTCAGGATGAGAACAGAAATTGTGGTGCGGCGGCACGGCAGCAGCAGGAAGCCCCATTAGCTAAAGTGGTGCTTCAGGTTAAGAACAGTTTCAGGTTAAGTACGGACCTCCGGAACGAATTAAGTACTTAACCCGAGGTACCACTGTATATGGGATTGTAGCCTGGGTAATGTTTTCACATGTTCTTAAAGTTGCTTTTAAGATTCACCTATAATAATACCAATCCTGCTAATTGAGCCATTATATTGCAATGTTGGTTGCCGCAAAGTTTTGAATCATGTTTTGAATCATGAAGAGTGGTTCCTAGTACTGTGACTCTCGCGCTCTCTTTTTAAGGAATTGGCCAAATGATCTACAGGATGCATTATTCATGCAGAATTATTCTTCCTCACAATTTACACAGGATTAAAATAATATTCCTGATATTAACTTTCATCAATAATGATTGGCATTGTAGGTGCTGCAACAAATGCTTGGTTTCTTTTGGATAGACCATAATTAGAAACAGGAGGCAGAGTGCACTGCAAAGTCCACTGTGTGCAATAAGACTAGTCTTCAACCAGTTATTGTAAGTGATAGTCCATACCCAATTATATAAAAGCATGTGATATCTGAGATATTGTAAATACAAGACTGGTGCTCCAAATATTTTCTAACCTAAAAAACCTCAAAATTTGTATGTTTTCCATCTACAACATGTGTGTCATTTCTGAAAGATTGTTGTGATTGGCTGCTGTACTACAGGAGTGTCAAGACAGGCCATTTGGAAGAATAGATTTCAACAGAGAGTAAGAAAAAATAAAAGAGTGACAGCATGAAGTTGATCAAGAAACACAGAGAAGGCCTAAAAATACGGAGAATGGTACACAACAGATAACAGAAGTGGTAAGATTATACATTCCATAGAAACCAGGACACTTTGAACATTCAAGGTTTCATACCCCTTGGCTTTAAAATTCTGAAAAATATTTAGATTAAAAGCCTTACCGTCTGGTTTTCTCTTCTGCCATTGGTAAAGCTCCGCTGAAAGAGCCTTCACCCTTTTCATTAACAAGGAAAGCTGTAATACATAGCAAATGTTGAAAGGTACTTTAAAAATGTTTTATTACACTTGAATAAAGAGCAGACCACTTAGAAGTACGAACTGGAACATTTAACCAAATAATGGTATATAACCACTTTCCCAACCCCATTCTCTAACAGAATATTCATCATGAGCAGAACAACACATTCTGATAGAGAAAAGCACCAGAGAATATTGTCTGGCACAGAACCTTCCCCAGTGCCAGGAGCTGCCTTTGTTCCTTGACCTGGGGCAGCCACTGCCAGTGGCACTGTGTGGTGCTTTTTCAGGCTGAGGTTCTCCATGGAGGAAAGTGCAGGATTGCAAGGACTAAAGGAGCAGCCTATGCATCTAGCAAAGGAGAAAAGTTGTGTAAACTTTCTTTCTTTATAGTGGAACAAGTTCCACTAATTATTGTTAGTGGAAAGGTTTCAAAGTCATAGATTCTATGATGCAGTTTCACCTATACCACAATGCACCATGCACTCAATTATGTTTCCAGCAGCCCTCTCCAAGTTTCCATTTAGCTCATGTTCAGGACTTCCTTCCATCACCAGCCATGTGAGAATTAGGGTGGAGTGAGGAGACAAGGCCAAACACAGTTCTAGCACATGTTTAGCTGTTGTGGTATGCGCAAAGGCCTGTGTCACAACAGGTACTGTTCAAAACATTAGCAGTCACTAGTTGACACAACTATTGCATTGCTGTGTCAGCTATGTTTATGGCTGTTAGTCATGATGGATTTATATTGTGCCCTGATGTTTAAAAGCAGTACAGCCATACCTCTGGTTGCGAACGTGATCCGTGCGGGAGGCACGTTTGCAACCCGCAGCGCTTGCAGCCTGAAGCGCCTGTGCACATACATGTGTGACGCGATTTGGCGCATGTGCGTGATGTCATTTTGCACTTCTGCGCATGCGCCGAAACCCAGAAGTAACCTGTTCTGGTACTTCCGGGTTCGGCGCAGTTGGCAACCCGAAAACGCTCAACCTGCAGCGTTCGTAACCCGAGATATGACTGTATGTTAATACCAAAGGCATAATATGGGCAGAGAGGGGCATGCTATTGCCTTTGTGCAATAGCACAAAGCATATGGCAGGCGACTGCAGGAAAGCTATCTGGACTAGTAAATCCTTAGTTTGTCCTAGTTCTTCTTTGGTTATTTACTCAAATTAAAAACAGCAGCATCATTTGGGAATAATTTTTTCATTGGTAGTTATGGCTAAGCTGGTTGTTGAACCATTTTTTTAAATTTTTAATGCATCCAAAGCATGTTTTCTTCAAGCCACTGTTGCATCTTTGAGATAAACTGGGCTAGATATCTAAATAAATGTGTACATACATAAAAAACTGGCTTGGAAATGTTTTAAATCTGGTCCCCCATGCATAGAAAGCTTTTTCACTGACAGTTCTGAAACTTTATCCTTACCTTGGGATCTGAATCTGAAAGTGTTTCTGTTTCTTGAAGTGTTAATCTGTTCTGACACTTGGTTATAAAGAAAGGAGAGAAATAAAATTATATTACATTGTGCTTCCCCCCCCTTCCTTAGACCAACCAACAATTCCAAACATTTAAAAGCAGTAGAACTCAAGATACTGAAGACACACCATCCAGCCAGTTATACTGTATTCTCTTTGATTTCAACTTGAGAATTTATGAACTAGTGAAATTCTCTCCCTTTGAAATAAATGAGGCCTAAAGAATAACTGACTTTGGATTGTGTATCTTAGAAGTACAACTGATGACACCAAGCAATTTTCAGCAATTTTAGGGTGCCCCTGACTTTATGGTCTTCAATAACGTCTCTTCCTCTATTGTCCTTGCATTCCTCATTGCACCCTTTGTGTTTTATAAATTTTTGACAGGTTTTCATTAATGGAGCTGTGCTGGTTAGATGTGGTAGACTGAAGGTTTGCTTGGTCTTATATTTAATTTATTTAATTTTCCATTTCATTTATCACACATGAAATACAAGGGAGGACTAGCATCCACAAAAGCCATTTAAAAACTCTTTCTACTTTTATCTGCATTTTACTTTTTCTAGAAATGGTGTCTGCTGTGTGCTTAGGCACATGTACAAGCATTGCAAATAGAGGAATAAAATACAGCATTATTGCTAGTTATTTGTTCCTGCAACTTCATTCATCACATCAACATACATCACTGTTGTAACAGTATTCATAAATAGGATATCGCTCATTACCTCTTCCATTTGTTTCCACAATTCTTCACAATCTTGTATGAGTTGTTCTTTGGCACCTTCTGAACTCAGTAATGTGCTGCTGACCATTGGGGGAACTTGCTGCTCATCTAGACTCATCATATTTTTCTCAGCCTATGAATAACATTGTTTCCATACTTGGTTTAATCACTGATAAACAGGTGGTATAGAAATGGTTTAAAACAGCATCACATGCACACAAACACACACACAGGTGAAGCACCAAAAAAAGAGAGAATGGTTTATGAGCAGTAGTCTGACAGTTGTATAGGACCACAGAGCCAAATAACTAACTGCCAGATAGCAGCTGCATCATGAATGTAGAAATTATGTTTAAGCACAAGTTTGCAAGTCCAAAACAGAGCAAATAAAGTCAATGTGCCTTCCTTGAGGGCACACAGGTCTTCAGCATTGATTTCCAATGACAATGCTAAAATAACAACCTTGAGACTGTCTTCTTTTAATTATTTAACAGTTTTGATCAGCAAAACTAATTTACCAAAGCCAAAAAAGATTTATGAAAGGTACAACATTCATGTTGTTGTTGTTGTTTAGGCATGTCCGACTCTTCGTGACCCCATGGACCAGAGCACGCCAGGCACTCCTGTCTTCCACTGCCTCCCGCAGTTTGGTCAAACTCATGTTAGGAGCTTCGAGAACACTGTCCAACCATCTCATCCTCAGTCATCCCCATCTCCTTGTGCCCTCAATTTTTCCCAACATCCCAGGGTCTTTTCCAGGGAGTCCAGCATTCATATAAGGTACCAAAACAAAGAATGAAAATCTTCAACAACATCCTTGACAGCAGTAAAGATTATTTTGAAACACAGTAGGTAAAACACCTTAATATAAATAAGGAGACAGGCTTGCAATTTTGAAAATCTAGAGACCAAATTGTTTGATGTTGCCCTTAGGAACAGATCTGTGGGAACATATGGTCTTGAATAAATAAAGCATTAATTCATCAATGGTATGAGCCATACTCATTTGTGAGAAAGGCTGCGAAATTAAATCCCATGGCAAGGTTCGTACCCGCTGCCCTGTGAGACATCTTCAGGAGAAGAAAAGGCTAAGGAGTAAACTCTACACAAATCCGGAATGGAGCCCCCAAAACGGTCAGATAGCAAGTTGTACATCTCTTTCCAGCAACTCCTTCAGCCAAGCTGGTGTCAAATGTATTGCTTTCCTTTCCTCTGGACCACATCTGTGAGGCCCAGAGGGGTCTTGTCATCTGGGCAGCCCAGGACCTCCATACACAGTGCGCAGGCTTGCACCCCGAGAGGTCACTCTGGTACCGTTAACACAGCAAAAACAACACGGGGGTGGGGTGGGGGCAACTGTTACGAGTTACCGGTTTCTGCAGGCACAGCAGGCGCTGTGATTCTCCAGTGGCTTGACTTCAACCCCGGAAGCGCACTCCATTGTCTCTCTCTAGACAATGGATACCCACAACAACAACAACAACCCTCACCTTAAACGCCTTCCCCAGTAAAACCAGTTGCTAACCAGAACCTTCAGATGAAGAACACAGAAGCGTCCCTTTGGACCAAACCAGTCCAGCATCTGGTTTCCTCCAGTGGCCCGCCAGGTGCCCCTGGGAAGCCCTTACGTGGGACCTTGGGCCACCGCCCTCCTCTAGGCGCGGCTGCCCAGAGACGGGCATTCAGCCACATCCGTCTCTAGTGGAGGAGGAGAAAACAAGCTCCAGCCTCACGACCCCGGACGCCTCCACGGAAGAAAAGGATGCGCTCCCTGACGGAGGCTCGCCCAGACCCAGCAGCCGATGGCCGCCCACTCCTGACATTACCATGGCGATTTGCCGGTGCCGCCGCCGACCTTCTTCTTCCCCTCGGCTCGGTCCGAGTCGCCTCGCTCTGCATTCCGAACCTGCGCGGGCTGCGCTCTCATTGGCTGTCGGCGAGGGTCGCAGGCGGCGCTCTCTCAAGCGCGTCACTACTCGGCGCCGGGCAAAAGCAGAGTCAATATGGCGTCCGCGGAGCCGCCGCGAAAGAGGAGGCACGGCGAGAGAGAGGAGGGCGAGGCGAAAGGAGAGGAAGGGTCGGAGGAGGAAGGAGGGAGAGAAGAGGAGGGAGACCGCTGGGTGGGCCCTTTACCTGGGGAGGCCGTGCAGGTGAAAAAGAGGAAAGGTAAGGGCTGGGGGTGAGGAGCGGGGTGTCAGCCTCGCTGGACAGGGCGACTCTACTTAAGCACTTCGTCCCTCCTCGTGTTTCCTTCGGAGCCTCTGGTGTCGGGTGATTCGCTGCACGTTCCTTGGAGACGTGTTTAAATTGAGTTGCAGGCAGACCAAGGCTACCTGCTGCCCAGTGTGTAGTGGTTAAGAGCGGTAGACTCATAATCTGGTGAACCGGGTTCTCGTCTCCGCTCCTCCACGTGCAGCTGCTGGGTGACCTTGGGCCAGTCACACTTCTCTGAAGTCTCTCAGCCCCACTCACCTCACAGAGTGTTTGTTGTGGGGGAGGAAGGGAAAGGAGAATGTTAGCCGCTTTGAGACTCCTTCGGGTAGTGATAAAGCGGGATATCAAATCCAAACTCTTCTTCTGTGCTTGGGGATACCTGGCTCGGTGGTCATGATCTGGACATAACTAACTGTTCAGGGCGTTTCGAGGTGCAGCTGTTATGTCTCCTTTGCGCTCTTGACGCTTCTGACTTGACATGCTCTACCTTGCATGACATCCCCCATAAGAGTGAAGCAGTTCTGTACGTGATGCTTAAAAAGGTAAAGGTAAAGGACCCCTGGCAGTTAAGTCCAGTCGCAGACGACTCTGGGGTTGCGGTGCTCATCTCGCTTTACAGGCAGCATTTGTCTGCAGACAGTTTTTCTGGGTCATGTGGCCAGCATGACTATGGAACACCGAAACGAGAGCAGCGTACGGAAACACCATTTACCTTCCCGCTGGAGCGGTACCTATTTATCTACTTGCACTTTTGGCATGCTTTCAAACTGCCAGGTTGGCAGGAGCTGGGACCGAGCAACAGGAGCTCACCCCGTCGCGGGGATTCGAACCACAAGCCCAAGAGGCTCAGTGGTTTAGACCACAGCGCCACCCATGTCCCTGTCCCTGCGCGTGCTTACCTGGCAGTAAGTCCCCTTGAAAGCACTGGTGTTTAAAGGTACCCCTGCCCGTACGGGCCAGTCTTGCCAGACTCTAGGGTTGTGCGCTCATCTCACTCTATAGGCCGGGAGCCAGTGCTGTCCGCAGACACTTCCGGGTCACGTGGCCAGCGTGACATCGCTGCTCTGGCAAGCCAGGGCAGCACACGGAACACTGTTTACCTTCCCGCTAGTAAGCGGTCCCTATTTATCTACTTGCACCCGGGGGTGCTTTCGAACTGCTAGGTTGGCAGGCGCTGGGACCGAACGACAGGAGCGCACCCCGCCGCAGGGATTCGAACCGCCGACCTTTCGATCGGCAAGTCCTAGGTGCTGAGGCTTTAACCCACAGCGCCACCTGCGTCCCACTGGTGTTTACTTCTCAGTAAAGGTGGTTTGAGTTAAGTTACAAGTTAAATAATAGTGTACCGGGCTGGAATTTCCTTCTCCTATACTGTAGTGGCTTAAAATACCACTGTATGCATTTTTATGTCTCGCTGAATGTTCTGGAGATTTTAAAATTCATTTTAAGTGACACAGGTTGGGGTTCACATGTTTAAATGTATCTCTGTGTACACATGCATGCATGCAAACAATCAATCAATCAATCAATCTCGTCACTCAGTTTCACTCAGCTTTATTTTTATGGATACTTAAGTCATGTGAGCAGTCTGAAGTAGTGCAGTCCAAGCACAAATTTGCTGCTTGTGTGACAACTAGTTATGTGTACACTTATTAGTTTGTGTTGGGATCAAGCCACATATAACACGATGATACAGCTACACAGCTGTTTTCATACCACAGTATTGAAAGAGAAGTTTGTTCAGTTTGGTCTCTTTTAAATCAAAATAGTTCGGATAACATTTTTGAAATGGAATACAATTTTTAGGAAACAATATTTCTTTATTTATAGTTCTTGAGTTTGAACATGTCTACCTGGATAATCTCCCCAGTGCTTCGATGTATGAACGCAGTTATATGCACAGAGATGTCATCACGCATGTAGTATGTACTAAGTAAGTCTTTTTTTTCTTTCTTCTATTTTAAGTATTGTAGAATTGGACCGGATGTATGTTTCAGGAATTGCATCTTGCCTAAAGAGTGCTTCATAACATTCCTGGATTGCAGGGGGTTGGACTAGATGTCCCTTGGAATCCCTTCTAATGCTACAATTCTATGCTTCTATAAGTGCAGCATAGCTCATCCTGCTTTTTAGCTCCAAGCTTAAGGGGGAAAGTTGTGACATGTCTTTGTTGCATTGAGTCTGTTTCGAGCATCTCTGAAGTGTGGCACAACTGTAAGAACCATCTCTAGAATTTCAAACTCTGTAGGAGGACTTGAGACAGTCCATGTTGTAATATGCTTTGGAGACTCGCCCAAGTGACCTTGTAAAGCCCAGTGTGAAATGGAATAGCATCTCTGAGGTTCAGCATGTTGTATTAGATCTCTTCCTTCTCTTTGGGGAATAAGTAGTGTCCTAGTGACTGCACCTGTGATTTGGCTTCCCAGACTAGCCAGAAGCTGCAGACTCCTGTGGAAGGTTGCTAGTGAAACAGAGATCTACGTTTGTGGTTCTTTTATAATATGAAGGTTATATCCTTCTACCTGCAGGACTGATTTTGTAATAACAGCCAGCCACGATGGACATGTCAAATTCTGGAAGAAAGTAGAAGAGGGAATTGAATTTGTTAAACATTTCCGTAGCCATTTAGGTAAGTTACTGTGTTTGGTATTTTCTTTTTTCAAAAAGAATATATTATTTTTTCATCATTTAAATATGCTTTATAGCACACTTTAAAAATCCATACCATATTTTAAAAATTGGGTTCTCTAAAGTTACTTAGCTTGAGTGATTAGTTTTTGTGAAATGTACCAGTAGGGTAGCCAGATGACAGTGGGTAGACAGTGCTCCTGCGCCTTTAATAGTTGCATAGAAGAAGACATTTCAGCTGGTGTGCCTTGCATGACAGGCAGCACCTGATGAAATTTCCTCTTCTACTGGTGCAGGAGTCCTGCCTTCTATTTGCTGCTGGTATGCACTGGGCTTCTGAGCTCTCTCTTCTTCAAGCCCTGGAATCACCTAAAAACCCTTCTTGAAAAACGGCTTTTCAATAGCAAATCAGATACTATATGGAGAACTGAGATTAGAAGACTGCATAAGCTCTCAGTCCATATTGTGATCTTTGAATCCCAGCCTTCTAGGGCCATTTTATACATGACTATTCAGAAATAAATCCTTCTGCGTTCAAAGGTACTTTATCTGTCCCTGCAGCTTTAGTCTGTGACATAATTCCATCTGAAGCATTTATATAGCAATTATGATTTTGTTCAAATTTTTTCTCAGATGAAGAGAACTTATTCTCTGTAAGCAGACTGTTTCCTTTCTTTTGCTCACAATAGGTGTTATTGAGAGCATTGCTTGTAGTTCAGAAGGTGCATTATTCTGCTCTGTTGGGGATGATAGAGCAATGAAGGTTTTTGATGTGGTGAACTTCGATATGATCAACATGCTGAAACTTGGGTAAGTCACTTTTCTTTTTTAATGGTCCTGGTAGATTTCTTAGTGCTTTAGAATACTTCTGTCTGAGATGTAATTGGTTGTGATTGATGGTACACAAATAACGGTGACATGTCTAATTGCTGGCATACTTTTAATAAAAGAACAGGAAAGTATACAGCAAGCAAATACAGGGTTGCATTACATTGCATATAATAATGAATTGTGAGGGGGACTTTCATCAGGAAAAATGTAAAGCAAACTACAGTACTTATTTTAAACTTGCAGTTATTTTGTTGAATTCAGATTCCTTGAGATAAGACATTGAAGAAAAATAAGTATTACTCTCTTTCTACAGCCTTACAAGTGCTACAAAGCACACCCAGAGTTTCTACTTAATGCATGTCAGTTCAGGTGGAGTCTTGCATGAAAAAGAGATGAATGCCGAGCTGCCCACCTCCATTAAAGTAGCTGGGGAAATTAATGTACAGTATCTGTGAACTTCTTATGTGTTCTTCAGAGTTCATGTCACAGGTCATGCATATGTGTGTGGGAGAAGGTCCTTGGTGCAGTCTGTATGAGAAAGAGAATTTATGTCCTGCCATTCTTGTTTCTCTCTCTTAAAAAGAGAAATTTTAAACACAATGAAAAATGCTGGTGATGCCACAGGTGTTAGATTGGAATGCTGTCCACATGCAGGTCCCAACACACCCGATGAAGATCATGCTTACTTATATCACTGTAGTCAGTGGGATTTACCTACCAAGCATGATTAGGATTTTATTGTTTCAGTCCAATCCTGTGCAGTGATTTACTGGGAATTTCTGTTAAGTGAGTGTTCACAGGATTTCCCCATATGTCTTGGGAGTGAGTTTCATTTAACACAGTGGGGATTACTTCTGAGAAAACTGCATAGATACGGGTTGCAAGTATAGTTAGCAAAATGCTAAACTGATTTTAAAAATGTTTGTTACAAAACAGTTAATGCTGGACTGTGTAGCTTCGTGTAGGCTAAACAGAATAGCTTCATGAACTGAATAAAATGAAAGTGATTGCTCTACAGAATAGGAATTATTATAATATTAATGAAATGCTCATCTTGTAGGAAATAATATGTTTTGCCTAAAAACCTTGTTAAAGTAAAGCAATATTTCAAAATATTCT